TCCCCCCCCCCCCCCCCCCCCACCTCCATCACTTCCACATTTCACTTTCACCAGTAGTTAATTTGGGAAGCAAAAAAAAAATGGAAAGCACATCAGCAAACCGTCTCAATAAAACGCTCCAACCTCCTCTGCATTCACTACGTCCTCTTAATAAAAATTAAAATTTTAGGTAAGAAGAGAAAGTTGCCAGCTACACATGCTTCTTATATTAATAAGTGAGTTAATTGCCGAGAAATCCAGAAAATGAAATTTTCTAATTTAAGCCTACTTTTCATAGTTATGAAATGAAAGGTATAGTAACTACTTAAAAATGCCTTTGCTTATAAAATTAAGCTGAATAGGAACCAAAGTGGTGATACGATTCAATAAATTTTCTGAATAGTTAGAGTATAATAGGATATTCTAGTCAGCTAACAAAATAAGAATTTCCTTGGGTTATTAGTACTGAATATTTAAATGTCAATTACTTCTGTAAACAAGGACGTGCGATAGACTTACCACCACGTGGTGCACCCTGGGTAAAGTATACTCATACGGTGAAAAAAAGTATATTAACTGACAGTTAACTTCTCACTTCAAACTACCATCACTCCATTGTATGTCATATTCGACTACTTTCACAGTACTCACCTACTGTATGTCATATTCGACTACTTCCACAGTACTCACCTCATTGTATGTCATATTCGACTACTTTCACAGTACTCACCTCAACCGTATGTCATATTCGACCCCTTCCACAGTACTCATCTTACCTCGACTATTTGTCATATTTGACCCCTTTCACAGTACTCATCTTACCTTGTCATATTCGACTACTTTCACAGTACTCACCTCACCTTTTCACTACCTTTGTGTCTGTATCTTTTACATCTTTGAAACACTCTTCTGTTCTTCCCCCATTCTCTTTTGATTTTTTTCACTTTGGTGTTCCTTCTTCTCTGTGAGGCCTGAATTCAACTAAAGGGCTAATCATAACTTTCATAAAGCCTGCCATTTGATATAAATCCTTCTGGAATTATTATTCTGAAATATTGCACTGATCAGTAGATTGGCAAAACGACAATTTGGCAGGCATAGGACAAAATAAAACAAGGATCAGGTTCGATTATATTATAAAGCCAAAGATTTCGAAATTTCTTCTCTTTCTCAAACAGAAGGGATTCGAGGAAAATAAGTGGATCGCGAAATAGCTAACTGTAGATGAAGGTTCGCAAAAATGGCACCAATGCATCAAAACTATAGACAGAAGCACTGCTCTAAAGGCGAAAAAGCAACAGGAACTTCCAGTGCTCAGTTTGTCTTACAAGATTGATTGAAACGCTGTATAACAGAATGTCATTCTCAGTATGAGCAACAGAGTAACAGGTATCCCTTTCAAGTAGATCTATGGAAAAGCAGTAGTGATTAGTTTTCTTCGCCGAGAATAGAAGTATTAAACTCGAAAACCATTTCCTTAATTTTTTCCCTTTTGCAGTTACGCATGCGTTTATCAAAACTGTTGATTATAAACTGCTTATGTTAGTAAGAAAGTCATTATACTCTCTAATAAATGGTTTGTCAACTACCAGGGTGTTATGTCGGAACTTAATATTCACCAAACAAAATAGATTTAAAAATGTTCTTATTTGATTCCTCATGGTGTCTTATATAAAGGTGTAATATTTTAGGAAAATCAGCAAATTAATACGACTGTGATTTGATTTCATTTATCCAAGAACTTAGGTAAACATATGGATTAGATACAGTGCGTTTTAATTTAAATTTTAAAGGGGCACTTAGGTACACACATATTGATGATTTTTTAATAAAGAAAATTTACATAATAATCGTAAGCAACGGTTAATGAAATGGCTTGTAATAAGACATCGTTCTTAGGATGCAATGAAATTGTGAATGAATTCAAAAAAGTGGGTTTATTCCGTGTCACTTAGAATATGTCATTCAGAGAATGTTCTCATTGCTTGACCTCTCAACAGAAAGTCATGGTTACCTTGTTATCAAAGTCCCCGATCTCTATCTTTAGTCATTCTATACATTCACAAACGCATGGATAAAGGTAACCCCGATTTTGGCCTCAGTCACCTCCTAGACTTTAGCAATAGAACTGGTACCCATTCAAATTAGTGTCGAAAAATGCGACTTCGCACCAACTCAGTACGTCAAATATTTGCCAAGTCCTGGCATTTCCCATAGACGGTGATCCAAATCAAATGCACGTCTTTAATGCTGCAATCAAATAAGATACATGTGATCACAGTGCCTCTGTTGGGAGATTTGGTGTGATTCCACGCATTCATTCAAGCGTGTGCTTTCCGTAAATGCTAATGGAGGTTCTTGCATTCTTGCCTCTCTCTCTCTCTCTTTAATAGATGAATACTTTTATGGAAACGAGTATGCATTCACTTGCAAGCAAAAATTGGAGTGAATAGGTGGGGGTGGTGGGGGG